AAAAAAGCTACTATTCTTGATGTTGAGCTTAACAAAATCACTTTTTCTAAATTCAATAAGTAAAGCAACCCCATAATTTTGAGCGCTCTTGATGATGTCAAATGAATGAGTTGCAGGCGGTTGCACTCACAAGTAGATTTCGTAACTATCGTGCTCAGAAGTCTGCTCCGAATTTCATAAAAAGCCAAAATAGTAGCTCAACAACTGGCTTCAATAGGCGTGTGTCCGGTTTCGTACGAAAAAATTTTCCCATGTGGGAAAATAGAGGCCTTTTAACCAACCACGTGAATATTCTTATAACCAGATGGTTCCCAATTGATGAACCATACCGAAGTCTGAAAAAGTAAGTTCACCTTTTTCTCTTCATTCTCTCCACTGTTTGCTTTTTCTTGGCTCTCTTCAGGCGTCACTTTTTCTTCGCTCTCCTCAGTTTTTACCGGTGGCGTCGGAGGTAATGGTATAGATTCCATCTAGAAACTGAGCTTTCTGAAGAATCTCTGCAAATGATAAAATTGTTACCCATTACAAGTACACAACTAAAGTACGCGAAATATGGGTCTCGTTAAAGCTGTTGCATGTCGCATCACAAGAATCGTTTAATTCTCAGTCTTATACCCTGTTCAGCGCTTTGCTTCCCCCTGTCACTGCCTTTTTCTTCGCCTTATTTGCTCCTTTCAGCCGATGTCAGACTTCGCAAATCGAGCAATTCGCTGGCCGCGACGCGACCGCGGACGCTAGCGAGTCGCTAGTAGCTAACCGCTCAATTCGCAAAGTCTGAAGTCGGCCTTCCAGAAGCTGTGCACAATGCATTGTTCACGTTTAATGTGGTGCTCTTTGAATGAAGCACTTCTAATAGAACAATAGAATACGAAAACAAAGTGATAGACGTAAACCGCGCCCTATCTTGTGAGTGAAGAATGCGATTTTTGGGCTTGAAATTACATTGAATGAATGCAGAAATGTGAACCAAAAAGGTGAGACAGTTCGTGACAGGCGTTCAAGAAAACATCGAACAAGGTCACTATTTGCCCGACGATCGTCTAGGTCCCTCTTATCCATCGAGGGCATCACTGCGTTCCTTCGCACACGGCAATTGTTCATATCTAATGAACTGGTGCACTTTGAACTGGTGCAAAAACTACGAAACTTCGTCATTGCTCATTTGATGTGATTCAAAATGTATTACTGTGTTCGAACACTATTTCGCCTTTGCTTTCACAAGGCTGGGGGAGGCAAAAAGACTACTTTACTCATGATGCGGTTCAGAA